TTCACTTTTCTTTGTTTATATTCTTTCCTTCGAAAGTTTGTTTAATTTGCGTGTTTGTTTGTATGTATTATGTGTTATGTATGTATGTATGTATGTATGTATGTATGTATGTATGTATGTATGTGTGTATGTATGTATTTATGTTTTGGTGGATAGATTGTCGTGTGTATGTGTATGTATGTGTGTGTGTATATGTATATAAAGTATGTGTGTATGTATGAATGGTGTGTCAATGTGTATGTATGTATGTGTATATGTATATACGTACGTGTGTATGTTTTTGTGTGTGATTGTAGTGTGATTGTATTTTTTTCCTCCTCCCCTTTTCTTCCTCCCTTTATCCTCTCTGTTTCCTCTCCCTCCTCCCTCCTTCCCCTCCGCTCCCCGCTTCGCCATGAACGGGAATTTATAACTTGGCGTCGATCCTCAGCACCGAGGTAATGCCCCCGCTGTTACTATGGAAAAGGGGAAATGGGGGGGAGGGAGAAGGAGGAGGGGGAGAGGGATGAGGGGGAGAGGGAAAAGGATGAGGGGGAGAGGGGAGAGTGAAGAGGATGAGGGGGAGAGGGGAGGGGGAGGGGGAGAAGGAAAGGAGGAGAGGGAAAGGATGAGGGGGAGAGGGAAAGGGATGAGGGGGAGAGGGAAAGGATGAGGGGAGAGGGAAAGGGATGAGGGGGGAGAGGGAAGGAGAGGGGAGAGGGAAGGATGAGGGGGAGGGGAGGGGGAGGGGGGACCTGGTCGTAGTTCTCATCCAATGGCTCTGCGAATTTTCGTCTTGATTGCAGACTGTGATTATTTTCCTGTTAATGAGGGGGAAACGTAGGAGGGAGGGAAGCAGACTGCGATATTTTTCTTCTGTTTTTCTTTTTTTAGGAGGAAGGGGGGGGGGGAGAGAGAGAGTGTAAAACGAAGGGAGAGGGCGGAGACAGAGATAGAGTTAGAGAAAGAGAGACATAGACAGGGTAAAAAAGGAGAGAGAGAGAGAGAGAGAGAGAGAGAGAGAGAGAGAAAGAGAAAGAGAGAAGAGAGAGAGAATCAAGAGTGGGGACAGGTAGAGACAGAGAGAGAGAGAGAGGAAGACAGGCAGAGGCAGACTAGAATGCAAAAGAGGGATAGCGAAAAGCGAAGGCAGAGAAATGAGAGAAATAATCGCAAAACCTAATGCCCCTGATATAATAGATGGCCGCTGGCACAGATTCCTCCCGCTCGCAATTCAGGTTAGCGATTTCCGTTGCATGGCGGCTGCAGATGAAGTTGCAAGGCTTGCCGCGATGGGTCGACGACCGCGTTACGCGCCGCTGCGACCTTTTCGACGGCGACGCGCGCGCGGCGGAGGAGGAGGAGGAGGAGAGGAGGAGGGGGCCTATGTCACCTGCTGGTCTCCGTGGCAGCGCGCGCCCTCGCCGCTCGATTTCCTGCTGCCGTCGACGCCGGCCTAGGCGGCGCTGCGGCGGAGGGGTTTTTCTATGCTCAGGGTCATTGTGCTCAGGTGGCTTGCGAAGTCTGGGCGTAACTTTATTGCCATTGAACAGATCGATTTTTTTCTTTTTTTTCTGCATATGACGGTTGCATAATCAGAGTATATACATCATTGTTTATCAGGTGCGGCGCGGGCGTGGCGCTTGCTGGCGCATAGCTGCTGCTGCTGCCGCTGACTTGGTGGCTTTGGGCGTGATCAATAGGACTTCGTGAATAACGAAAACTGCACATTGCAACTGGCGACTGCAAGCCTCTATAGCCACTGCAGATAGACGATATCCCGAAGCTAAAACACTGCAGCCTCCTCTCCCTCCCCCTCCCTCCTCCCGCTCTGCCCACACCCTTCTCCTCTCAACCTCCCTCTTTCCTCCCCTTCTCCCACCTCTCCCCTCCTCCTCTTACCCATTTTCTCCCTATCCCTCTCCTTTTCCACATCTCCCCTTCCTCGTCCACCTCTTTCCCCTCCCTCCCCTTTCTGCTCCCTTCCTCCCTCCCTCCCTTTTCCATCCCCTTCCTCTCCCTTCCTCCCTCTTCCACCCCATCCCTCCCTCCCTCCCTCCCTTTTCCTCTCCCTTCCTCGTCCACCTCTTTCCCTCCCTCCTTCCCTCTCTGCTCTCTTCCTCCCTCCCTCCCTTTTCCATCCCTTCCTCTCCTCCCCCTCTTTCCACCCCCCTTCCCTCCCCCTTCCTCCTCCCCCCTCCCTTCCTTCCTCCCTTTTCTTCCTCCCTCCCTTCCTCCCCTTCCTCCCTCTTCCTTCCCCTCTCCTTCCAAGCGTGATGAGGGTGACAGCTACAGTTTTATAAACGTGTGACCTGAAGACCGCCCCACCGCGTCATAATCCTCCGTTGGCGCGTGGATAAAGCATCGGATCGCACGAGACCGCGAATTCGAATGCCCGGATGGAACGGAAGGAAAAACAAAAGACGGTCGGATGAAAAGCTTCGTGGTTTCGGATTCCACTTGGCTCTGTTGTCCTTGTTGCTATGATTTTTTGTTTGGGTTGTTAGGCTTAATAATGTATGGGGAAAATATGATTAATTTAAGGCTTTAGTAAAAAAAAAAAAAAAATGAAAATATGTAGTTGGTTCCTATCTTTTTACTATAGTTGCAATCACTTCTGATGACTTTCAGTTTTATTATTTTTTTTTTTATAAAGGGTACATTGCAGTCATCATAATAGCGTGTTTATATCACTATTGCGGGACAAAAGTTATGATCCGCAACATTAAATAACCAGGTAGTCCTTTGTGACGTTCTGCTGTGCCTTTTGCCGCCATTTTTTTCTTTTGCTTTGTCTCAATAAAAAAAAAGTCTTGTGCGTGTGTGGAGATTGGCAAGGAAGATAGATTTTCTTTGTAGTGTATAGAGCACTTATGAGTATGTAAATATATATATTGAGTGATCTGTTTCTTTCTCCATTCGATACGTTTATAGAGCATTTATAAGTTTATATATTTTAACTGATGTATCGCGTTTTTATACATTAATATTTGCGTATATTTAGATCGGCAAAGTCAAGGGAACTTCTCTGTTGACTCTAATTACTTAATATTTTCCGGTCTTTTGTAATAACACCCTATTGTGTTACCAAACAATGCCTTTGGAACTTACGTCACGCGGTGGCATCTCAACAACAGAAGTTTTTCATTTGATTGATAAAAAAAAATCGAGTTTTTTTCTTTTTTTTTTTTTTGGTTTCGAATTACTGAAATGATGCGGCTTATATTTTATCATCCAAGTTGCTTTTTTTTCTGTGCATTTGTTGGTTTTGGTATTACATTTATTATAACTGCATGCTGTTTATTTAATTATGTAATATAGGTTAGATAAGGGAAGGTAAATAGGGAGACAGACAGACACGCAAGCAAGCAGACAAACATACATCAGACAGATAGATAGATAGAGGACGAAATTAATTAATATGTATCATATTTTTTGCTTTCATAAATCTAGAAGATTAAACTGGTTCTGCCATAGATTGCGTCTGCGATGGTTGGTACAGTCGCACAAATTGTGGAAAATAGAAAAATATTCCTTGTGTTCAGTCGTAAGCTTTAATTTGATCATTGTGGAAAATAGAAAATATTCCTTGTGTTCAGTCGTAAGCTTTATTTTGATCCCGAATGTCGTGGCGGAATGGACGCACTCCGGTTATTTTCCCTCTATTGCCACTGCTGTCTTAGCATATTTCTTTCTTAAACTGTATCTAAAACGTAGCCATATTTGCCGTTCCTTTCACACCCTTATGTAACACTGACCCCCCCCCCACTGCTGTCTAAAACGTAGCCATATTTGCCGTTCCTTTCACACCCTTATGTAACACTGACCCCCCCCCCACTGCTGTCTAAAACGTAGCCATATTTGCCGATCCTTTCACACCCTTATGTAACACTGACCCCCCCCCCACTGCTGTCTAAAACGTAGCCATATTTGCCGATCCTTTCACACCCTTATGTAACACTGACCCCCCTCCCCCCAACACACACACACACGCAAAAAAAAAAAGAAAAAGAGAGAGAGAGTGAGAGAGAGAGAGAGAGAGAGAGAGAGAGAGAGAGAAAATGGGGTTCCAAGACTCAAATGAGACAAGAGGAAAAGTTAACAAGTTTAGCTCGGCCTCGGAAGGAGCAGCAGCAGCAGCAGCGAGGAGGGCGGCTGTGTTTCTTGCAAGACAGAAAAGCAATTTCCGAGATTGGCCGAATGCTCTGTTTTTGTTTTGTTTTGTTTTGTGTTGTTTATTCTGATCTATTCTATTTTTTTTAATTATTTTATTTCATATTATATTGTATTGTGTTGCATTATATTATATGTGCATTTTATGTTGTATTATCGTTTATATCATGATTTATATTGTAGCTTAAATTATGCTTTATATTACTTTTTTTTGTCTTGTCTTGCCTTGTTTTATGTTATGTTTTTAGACCTTTTTTTTCCAGATTTCCAAAAAGAAACTTGAAGGAAGATGGCATTTTATTGATGTGTTTAAAGTAACGAGAAGGTAATCATTCTCGTGTATTAACGCTGGTAAAAGTATTTCTGTCTGTATCTATTTTCATTTTCCTATTTATTTTTCTCTGTCTATCTATATATCTATAATCTTATTTCGATTTCTCTCTTTCTTCGTTTCTCTTGTTCTTTCGTCTCCCTTTCTATATTCAAATAATGCCGAATTGTCCAATTAAATTTACTATAACTGATTTCTGTTTCTAGTTCAGTTAATCATGATTTTTAGCATCATTTCCACTGTTCCCAACATCACATCTACCGAGACCCTCTCTGTCACCATTACCACTATTACAACCACTACCATTTCCACCATTACCACTGCCACTACCATCATCACCACCACTGTCATCACCATCGCAATTACTACCACCATCACCGCCACCATCCGCATCACCATCACCACCATTACAACACAACAGACCACCACCACATCTACAACCACTCTACCACAATGGCCGCCTGCTTATGTACAATCTGCCATTACCATGAATTAATCGCCCCCCCTCTTTCCGCAGACCGATATGGGACCACACCTTCGCCCGCCTCGGAGAAGACTGGGTGTTCCTGTTCATCCTGGGCACCGTCATGGCCACCATATCCTTCCTCATAGATGACATTATCATGATCTTCTTCGGAAGTGAGTTGACTTTGTTTGGTTTTTGGTTTTTGTTTTTTGTTTTGTTTGTTTTCTCTCTTTATTTTACATGGGTGGGGTGGGGTGGGGGGGGGCAAGATCTATAGATTTTCCGACAAATTAATTAGATTCGTTCCACCATTCACTGCTGAGAGGAAACGGACTGACTGACTGGCGATACAGTGGCAACGCTGTAGTGATATGAAACGCCACTTATTATGCAAATAAACTTGTCATAACTTCCGTGGTTTTGACATCAGGAAGCAAAAAGTTCAAGTAATTATACTTTAACGACTTGGGCGAAAATAGGGAGAATTGAGAGAGATTTTATTTAAAGTAGCTAAAAAATGGTCAAGAACATCGCAGGAAGACAGATTGCCGTCACATTTTTCCGACAGGGATTGAAAATTTCCGACTAAAGTGACTCTTTCCTTGAAGGGAGGGGGGAGGGGGGCAACCGCCTCCCCCTTCGCCCCTTTCTCAATACACCACAAAGGAAAGGGAAGTGCTTTCTTGGGACCCGGTTGCTTGAGAGGAAAGGGGAGGGGGGAGATGGAGCATAGAACCTTTTTTTATTGAATTATACTTTTTCGTGTACTTCCACCTCCTCTTGCAATGAATAAACGGACTTAAGTATCTTTGGTATCTCCCTTATATTCAATTTGAGCTTGTATTTAGGGAAATTTAACCCGCTAGAGACCCGGGAATTGGAGGGATCTGAAAGGCAATACTTGGACCCTGTGTTTGACTCCCTTGAAAATTGTCAAGGAAAAAATGTGTGCGGGAATGGACGGTTTGTGGCTGCTTAGGAAGGTTAAAGCTGACCTTTTTTTATTCATTTGGGAAATTTTAATGTTTGGTTCGTACCTAATGGTAAGTTGGCATTGGTATTTATGGATTATAGAGAATTAGTTTTTTTTGTAAGACAAGGAGTACTTCCATATTTCCATACATTTTTCTATCCATCCAAACCCACAACTTCCACTACCCTTTGGCCCTTCTTCTCTTACTCCCTCCCCTTCCCCTCTGATCTCTGACTCTGACCCTCTCTCCTTCCCTCTGCTCTGACACCTCTCCTTCCCTCTTCTCCTTCCCCTCTGACCCCCTCTCTTCCCCTCTGATCCCCACATCTTCCCCTTTTGATGCTCTGAGCCTTCTTCTCTTCCCCTTCCCTCTGACCCTCTCCTTCCCCTCACTTTCCCATCTGACCCCTCTCTTCCCTTTGACCCCTCATCTTCCCCTCTAATCCCATGTCTTCCCCTTTGACCCTCCCTTTCTCCTCTGACCTCATCTTCCCCTGTGACCCCCTCCACTTCCCCTCTAACCCCTTTGTCTTCCCTCCCCCCAGCCCGAATGCGCCTTCACACGTACCTGGGTGACATCCACTGGGGGCTGCAGCTGTTCTCATGGGTGAGCATCCCGACACTACTGGTCATCTTCGCCGCCGCCTTCTGCCAGTGGATGGCCCCGTCTGCCGCTGGCTCGGGCATCCCTGAGATGAAGACCATCCTCAGGGGCGTCGTGCTTAAAGAGTACCTCACCTGGAAGACGCTCTTAGCGAAGGTTAGATGCTTCCTGTGGAATGTCTTTTTTATTATTATTATTCATGGCATACACATATAAAGTATGTATCTATTCATGTTGAGTACACACCCACACACATGCACAAATGGCATGCATACATGCAGAAGTATATACAAAAAACTACATATAAAAACACATACACACACACTCTCACTCTCTCACTCTCACTCTCACTCTCACTCTCACTCTCTCACTCTCTCTCACTCTCACTCACTCTCTCACTCTCTCACTCTCACTCTCTCACTCTCTCACTCTCTCACTCTCACTCTCTCACTCTCTCACTCTCTCTCTCTTTCTCTCTCTCCTTCTCTCTCTCTCTCTCTCTCTCTCTCTCTCTCTCTCTCTCTCTCTCTCTCTCTCTCTCTCTCTCTCTCTCTCTCTCTCTCTCTCTCTCTCTCTCTCTCTCTCTCTCTCTCTCTCTCTCTCTCTCTCTCACACACACGCACACACGGCACACCACACACACACACACACACACACATACACACACACACACACACTTGCTCTCACTCACAAACATTTAATATTTTTGGCCATTATTTGACAGCTGATCCATACCTACAAGGTGAACGTCTTTGTTAATGCTTTGAAATTCCATCTCCAGATTGTGGGTTTAGCGGCTGTATTAGGTGCAGGTTTACCTCTTGGCAAAGAAGGTCCAGTCATGCACATGGCTAGTATTGTGGCCACCATGCTGACCAAGATGCTGCGATACATCAAGGGAAGCGTAGAGAACGATGCCAGATCAACTGACCTGCTTGCCGCTGCTTGCACCATGGGTGTGGCTGTGTGCTATGCTGCTCCCATTGGAGGTACTTGCTTTTTTAAATGATTGGATTCCTGCCTGTAGAGAACATCTCTCAGTGCGATTGCTTCCTTTTCTTATAAAAGTTGATTCTAGAATTATAATTTGATGTTTTAAAAAAGTAATTAGGTTTCAGTGTATAAATTGTCTATACTTTATCTTATTATAAAGTTGTTTGTGATTAAGTAGGATGATTTTTATTATTCTATAATTAGTAGCCATTTTAAAGAATCAATCATCTATATCTTATTAGATATATTTTTTATATATATTTACAACAAAACTTTGATATATGTAGGGCTGTGTATAACTGTTTTGCTATATGATATACTATGTGGACCTACTATTCAAATTCAGGATTTTTCAGCATTAACAGCATTTATTCAAGGACTTTTAGAAAGGTTTTATATATTCTCACTTTTCTTGTATATATGCTATATAAGTACCAATATTTGATATTTCCAATTGTCTTCTCTCTCTCTCTCTCTCTCTCTTTTTTTCTTCTTTTTTTTCCATCTTAAGAAAACACATAGAAAAATAGATTATGATCACAGCTTTCCAGTCAGACTGTAGAGCAGTTTAAATAACCGTTTGGTATCTGATTGCAGGTGTTTTGTTCAGTATTGAGGTAACGACAGTTTACTTTGCCGTGAGAAACTACTGGAGAGGGTTCTTTGCCGCTGTGGTTGGGGCAATGTTCTACCGCCTCATGTCCGTTTGGTTCATGGGATCCCGTAAGTTCAAACTCTGCTCTCTCTCTGTTTTTATCATCGTACTTGTTGTCAGTGACATAGATGTTTAAAATAGGAAAATTTTAAAAGTTTATGATCAGATAACATGTCAGAGAATTATGGTTTGTTCATGATGTTCTCTACTTCAGAGAGGGCAAGGAACAATCCATATCTCTGTGTTTTTGAAATTTGAATGGAATTAGTTTTCAAAGTTTGCCAAGTATGTTGTAGATAGTAAGCCTGCTTTAAGATAATTCTGTTGATGTATTTTTTGTCTTTAATTTTATTAGAAGTAATGTTTTGTCCTTAGAGTTATGTTAAGAAATGTCAACCTATTGCATGCAGTTGTTCAGTTCAGTATATCCCAGTATAAACTTTTTTTTATCTCTTTACATATAGTCTTTATGATGTTTAGAGCCTGAACGTATTTTATTTATCCCTGTGTGTGAATTTAACTTTTATTTTTTATCTAAATGCAATTTTTTTCTTTTCTTTTTCTTCTTTTGATATGTTTTACTGTCAAGCAGTGTTAGTGCTATATGTATATTGATAAAATCTAGCACTAGCAAGTGATATGTTTATGTTGATGCAGGTAGTCTTTAGTGTATAATATATGGTGTCATTTGCAATAATTAGCTTACAGCAGAAATAGGAGACAAGAGAATTTTTTAGTTGAAAAATGTGTGCACCTTAAGACAACCTGTTAGAAAGATGTACAGTACTGTATTTTGTAGAAGTTCATAATCTGTAGTCCTGTATGTTGGGTGTGCACTTGACAGAAACCATCTACCCGCTGTTTAAAGTGCATCTTGACTACGACTACCCCTATGACGTCATTGAGCTTCTGCCGTTCCTCTGTATTGGGTACGTAGATTTTGACACAGATTTTGAAGCTTTCTCTGTTGTTATTTGTTCTTTTTCTCTCTCTTTAAGCTAATTATGATTATTATTTGTCTCTTGCACAGGAATATGATGGAAACCTATAGGGTAATGGGCTGATACTTTTGATCTTCATTTTGCTTCATAATAAGGGATAGATAGACATATATATGTGTATATCAGTGTCGTCGTCCTTATATTTGATTTTTGTTTATTATGTTCTTTTTTTGTTAACCTTATTATTTCTACCCTTGCATTAGGTCACTGGTGTGAGTTTGATATATTTTCTTTAATTTGGAATCTGTTCTTAAATTTTTTATTTTATTTCTTCCTTCTCTTAAGTTCTTGAAAAGGTATTCATGATGCATGTGTCACTTTTTTTCCATTGCTTTGTTTTACCCTCACACATTGACAAATCATTTGCCTCATTAAAGATTCTGTGGTTTGCTTCTACTCTTGATTTAGCCATAACGAGGAAGATAATTTTGTGCTGATTTTTTCTCATTTTGGCTTGAGTGCTGCTAAATCACTCCCATATTTTGCTTGTAACATAGATTCCCCTGTTTCTTGATGTTTTTAAGCATTGAATATGAAACGTGGATGACGAGTTTATGCTTTCTTTTTAGTGGTCACATGAAATAGCATTTATAAAGATGCCCAGAATCTTTGAAATTTGGAAGGGTAACTTTTGATTTAGATTTTTGTTATTTTGTTTGTGTTCCTTTTTATTGTTTATTTATTCATTTATTTATTTTTATCTTTTACAGTTTATCAGTGACAGTCAGTAAATAATTTCTCAACACATGCATTTTTTCAGTAAGGGTTTTCTTGTTAATATGTTCTAAAGTGGAAGTAATAATGCTTTTCCTTTTTTCCTAACAGCATTGTGTGTGGTTTTGCTGGATCGCTGTTTGTCTACCTCCATCGGAGATACGTCATGTTTATGCGATCGAACAAGATGCTTAAGAACTTCCTTAAGAAAAAGTGTGTAACTTCCATTCTGTTGTGACATATTCTTGTTATGATATTCTAAGATAATTCTTTCATGGATTGTACTGCCATCTTGCTTCCTCTTTTTTTTCTATTATGCATTCTCAGCGATTTGATAGTAATTTTCCTTCTTCTCACATTTTCAGGCGCCTCTTATATCCAACCTTTGTGACCATAGCAATCTCCATCATGACCTTTCCACAGTGTTTAGGTCAGTTCATGGCAGCAACACTACCCGCAAGTCAACAGGTAAAGAGCAGGTGTATTTTTTTTGTATGGTATTTTTGATGCATTTGATTTGTGATTACATGTGTGTTTGTTTATCTGTCTGTCTGTCTGTTCTCTAGTATCAGAAGGTATGGTTGTTTATGATACATTTGGAGTGTTTAAATATAGATTTGTATTCACAGATTCAATAATGGTTTATGAAGATAATAATAATGATGATGGTATTAAATTAACATAAAAACATGCCTTTCATATCCATAACAAAGAGGAGAAATTACATCAGTAAATCTCTTTTACTTCACAAAATAGACCTCCCTCCTCTCCATTCCAGATTTTGCAGCTGTTCAGCAACGTGACGTGGTCGCTCACACAACAAAACGAGATCCTGTCCGGGGAGCAGCAGACCATCCTGAGGCATTGGCTACCTGACCTGGAGGGGAACTTCCACCTCAGCCTTTTTGTCTTCCAAATTGTTACTGTAGGCACCATTCTTTGCAAATTTATGTAACTTTTTTATTTGTTGTAAACTTCATCTCTTATTGTAGTACATGATACTTGTTGTCTCGAGCTGGTTTATTTATTCATTCATATAGTGTATATATATATATATATATATATATATATATATATATATATATATATATATATATATATATATATATATATATGTATATATATGTATATATATTTTTTTCCCTTTTGTTCAGCATATCCAGAAAATTTTTCTCATATTTTTGTAGGAGAAAGATTCATCTCGAATGTCATTTTATACATCAATGTATTTATTTTTATCGATTTTCTTAATTCCTTTCTACAGGTAATTCAGATAGCTATCTCCTCCACCTTGCCTGTGCCTTCTGGTATGCTGATTCCGCTGTTTAAGGTTGGAGCAGCTTTTGGCCGCCAAATTGGTGAAGTCATGGCGTCTCTCTACCCGTTGGGCATTGCCCCCGGCAGTCCTATTGTCCCTGGTGAGGAAGGAAGATTTTGTTTCTTTTAATTGTTTTTAATTGATTATTTTACAATGATTATTTATGTATTCATTTATTCATTATTTATTTAGGAGTTTATTTCATTTGCAAGGACAAAGAAATTTCAGTTAAATGTGGCAGGTACTTCTTATTTAAGAGGATTTACTTCCAGAGCTTTAATTTGAAATGATCATTGTATGTTTCCTCTGACAGGTGCTTATGCAATGGTGGGAGCAGCTTCATTTTGTGCAGCTATTACTCACACCATTTCCATCTCCGTCATTGTCTTCGAGTTGACTGGACAAATTACTTATGTCATACCAATTATGGTGAGGATTGTGTCATAGTGATGGATATATTGCAGTTTATTCTTCATGCCCTTAAGTGAATTCAAGCCAATTTGTACCTCAGTTTCAGTAGTGCTGACAGACATACTACCGATATCTGCGATATCTGTCTTATAACCTGTCTGTCTTTCTTTCTTTTTCTTGTAGATCGGTGTACTTATATCAAACTGTATATCATCACTCCTGCAACCATCTATATACGATAGCATGATTCGTATAAAGAAGCTCCCGTATCTACCTGATATCATAGCTACAGGAACAGGTAAAGTACATTGTAAAAGATGCTACTTAGAACTGAACTCAGGAGACACATCTACAAAGATATGAAAATAGTCATTATATAATTATACCCAAAAGGATCAAAATGAATCACAAAACCCTAATCTCTTCCCACAGCGGACGTATACAACATCTATGTGGAAGATATAATGGTGCGAGATGTGAAGTACATTTGGTACGGAATCACATATGTTGAGCTGAAGAGAGTATTGAAAGAGAATCGCAAGCTCAAGTATCTTCCGTTGGTGGACAAGCCAGGTTAGTGCAGCGGTCGATGATTTTAGTGTTTTAGTGATATATTGTGATTTTGAAAATAATTCTTACTTTACTAGGAATTGTTGAAATAATGAGCAGTATTATTATTTTAAGTCATGGAAATGATAATTTATGGCATTGTGACATAAGTTAAGTCTTTATCATTCATTTACCTATACCATTCACTTCTTAATGCATAATTGAGACATTAGTAATGAAGATATACTGTATAAAAATAAATCAAGGAAATAAAATAAATAAATCAAGGAATATGCACAACAGATTCTTATATTTTCTGACTGAATTTCAGAGTCGATGATCCTGCTTGGTTCCATCCAGAGGATTGAGTTAGTCAGACTGCTCGTAGAACAGATTTCGTCAGAAAAGCGCAGGAAGGAAGCCACAAGAAGGCACCTTGAAGCTCTAAGGTGAGAATGAGAAAATGGAAAATAGAAAGACAGAGAGAGAGAGAGAGAAAGCTGTAAAAAGATAGAGAATATTAAGAAATGACAAAGAAAAATTGGGGTCATTTTCTCTTTCTTTCTATCTTTCTTTCTCAGTAAACTTTTACTTTGTCGCAGTTTCTCTTGTGGGACTTTTTTTTTTTTTTTCCTTTCGTGATTTCTAACTAATGTTAAAGTTAATTTGATTTGTATTACACTATATTTAAGTTTGTAATAAAGTATTTTCTTTTAACACTATTTCTATGTTACTGTTATAATCTGTTATCTACTTTTTCTTCTTTTTATACATAGTCTTGCTTTAATACAAAGTTTAGCAAACAAAAAATATTCACACACATAAATACATCTCTTTTAGACCTAAATCTTTTGAACCTCTTAAGTATCTCTCTCCCCCTCCCTTCTGTCCCATCTCTTCCTTTTCTTCCCTTTATCCCTCTCTCATTCCCTCTCCCCTCTCCCCCTCTCTCCTTCCTTCTCCCCTCTCCTTCCCTTCCTCCTCTCCCCCTCTCTCCTTCCTTCTCCCCTTCTCTCTCCTTCCTTCTTCCCCTCTCTCCTTTCCTCTTCTCCTCTCTCCTTCCCTCTCCCCCTTTCTCCTTCTCTCCTTCCCTCCCTCCCTCCCTCCCTCTTTCTTTCCCTCCATCCCTCTCCTTCTCTCCCTTCCTTCCTGCATTCCTTACTTCCTCCCTCTCTCTCCCTTCTTCTCTCCTTCCCTCCCTCTCTTCCTCTTTCCCTTCCTTCCTCTCTCCTTCACTCACTCCTCCCCTACTTCCCTCCCTCTACAATTGATTTTATGATTTCCGCCACACCATTTTTAGGCAAAAGTGGGAGGAAGAGGATGCGGCAGGAGGACCAAAGCAGAGCCGCATCCGATACGAGGATGAGATCAACGAGTATGGTGATGATGAGCCAGTGACTACGCCCAGTCTCATGCACAGATTCTCAAGATCTTTGAGTAGATCCTTTTCACGTTCTAGATCGGGTTCCAGGTAAAGTTGTGAGAGGAACGTCCATCGATGTGCATAATGTTGATGGATTTTCTAACCTTTTGAGTTTTTGATTTTGTTATCTTATTAATATAATGATTATGCATTTATTTATCATTTATTTGTTTATTGAAAGAAACATAGATCCAGATGTTACAAGTGTATGGCTTTAGCTGTAGATAAGGCCTTTGGAAGATTTGTTTTATAATATCATCACATTATGCTTCAGCTTTGCTCAGAATTTAGGAAAAAGTCTAAATGATATACACCTCACCGTTTTATATCCAGGGTGAATTTAAACATCAACTTTGATATTTCATTATGTGTATATACATAAAAGAAAAAAAGGAAAAGAAAAGAAAAGAAATATTTACACACACACACACCTGTATATATATGTATATATATGTATATATATGTATATATATATATATATATATATATATATATATATATATATATATATATATATATATATACATATATATATATATATATACATATACATATACATACATATATATATATACATATATATATATATATACATATACATATATACATATATATATACATATATACATATATACATATATATATATACATATATACATATATACATATATACATATATACATATATACATATATATATATATATATAATATATATATATATATATATATATATATATATATATATATAACACCACACACACACACACACTCACGGACACACAAGGACACACAAGGACACACACGGACACACACACACACTACACGGACACACTCTCACACGGAACACACACATCACACACACTCGCACACGGACACACACACACTCGCACACGACACACACACTCGCACACACAACACACACACTCGCACACACACACACACACTCGCACACACCACCACACACACACACACACACACACACACACACACACACACACACACACACCACACACACACACACACACACACACACACACACACACACACACACACACACAACACACACACAACACAACACACAACACACACACACACACACGCACACACACACACACACACACACAACACACACAACACACACACACACAACACACACACCACACACACAGCACACACACACACACACACACACACACACACACACACACACACACACACACACACACACACACACACACACACACACACACACACACACACACACACACACACACACACACACACCACACACACACACACACACACACACACACACACACACACACACACACACACGTATATATGTAAGTGGATATAATCTCCAGTTATCATGCTTCTGTTTACTCTTTATTATTTCCTTTTTTTTTTTTTTCCTCTTTTCTTTGCTCGTCATTCACTTTGATAATTTGTCTTCCTTTTCATTTACGGGTAATTCGCTCAGTTCTCGCTTTTAATTTCTCTCTTTTATTGGTATTCAGGTCACGTTCAAGGTCCCGAAGTCGCCAGGGAAGCCCATCAAGGTATGTACGCGGCATGCATTAAATTCCACTTTTCGAAAGATATCCATTCTGGGTCCTTTTTTTATGCTGAATTTTTATTCATATTTATTTTTTCATTACTGAAACTGATGGTTATGCAGTTTTTTTAAAAATTCATCTGTTTGTTATCCTTTGTCTCTTTCAGCGGATCATTTTATTATCAAATTTTATCTTGCACACTTCCTTTTTGAATATGAGTATATGTGTATTCATATTGTCTTCGTGAGATGACTTTTTTTTTTTTATAAATGGCTATTCAAATTTTTCTCCATGTTTTTCTCTCATTTTTATTTTTTTTTTTTTTTCTCTTTCTTTCTTTCTTTTCAAAGAGATATGGAGAAATTCCCTTTTTAAATGTGTAATAAAGTCTTATGGACTCTTCAGAATCCAGTTGTTACAGAGCGAGCAAACTCTTTTCTTTTTCTTACATTCTTTTTTTTATCTCTACCACATATACCCTCCCCACCAAATCCTTTCCTATGTCTTGCGCACAGCCCCCACGCCCGACACCACACCAATATCGTCCATGCAAAGGTTCGCACACCAGCGACAAACAGAACACCCAAGCAAAAAAAAACCCCAACCACAACAAACAAAAAAAAACCAAAAACAAAAAAAACGAACATACCAAATCATAATTTTCTTTATAGTAACCAGACAAGTGCCACAAACCACCTACACAAAAACTCAATACATAACCAATAGAAATGAAACAACCAAAACCCAAACAAACAACAATAACAAAAGTGACTAAAGCAAACATTAATTCCACTACACCAGCGAAAGAAACTAAGATCAGGGCCCGAAAAAACGAAAACCCAAAACACACAGCGATACAACCCAAAAAAAAAACCAAACAGCAAAACCAGCAAAACAAAACACAATGATGTTTCAGAAAAGAAAACCAAAAATTGGAAAACAACAACGAACCAGCACTACGTTAATGCAGCCAAAACACGACAACCCTAAAAACGCTACAAAAAACACACCAAAAAATGAAATAAAGATCCCCATCAAAATGAAACTCCTCAACCAATACAACCACCAAATCCTACATCTGCCACGTCCACATCTATAGCCTTGTAACAACGCTAAATGTTACAATAAAAAAATTATTGCACATAAAAAAAAAAAATGTAATTAATATATGAATGTCACGATAATATATAATAAACAATGAAGCGGTAGTACTACAAGTACACCACGAGATCAAAAAAAACGATATAAAATTAAATCCAATAAAATAATGCGAAATACACAATAAAACATTTATATACATCAAATGCATAACTCACAAGATACACAATTAAAAGACACTATAATAATATGTGCCAAATAATGTATTTTGGATTAACATATAAAATATCGAATATATATGGCATAATACACAAATAATTTTTTATTAATTGTATTATATAATAGCTAATTATATATACTCTATATATAT